AAGAAGAAGAAGAAGAAGAAGAAGAAGAAGAAGAAGAAGAAGAAGAAGAAGAAGAAGAAGAAGAAGAAGAAGAAAGTGAAACAGAGAAGAAAGATCTGGAAACCAAAAAACTTCATGATCATGACAGTAGCAAAAGCACCCAGGAAACTAAAGGATCATACACAGAATCAGGTGAAAAAGAAGGAGAGAATGAAAAGAAAATTTCAAAGTTAAATATTCCCAAAAAATTAGCTCTAGACACCAGTTTTATTAAATTAAGTGCACGGCCTTCAGGAAATCAAACTAATTTAGAAGAGAGCCTGGGAAAAGTCCGGAGAAATGACCCGAACATGACAGAGCTCAACTTAAACAACATTGAGAACATCCCCAAGGAAATGCTAGTGGACTTTGTCAATGCCATGAAAAAGAACAAGCACATCAAAACATTCAGTTTAGCCAATGTTGGGGCAGATGACAATGTAGCTTTTGCCTTGGCCAACATGCTGCGTGAAAATAGGAGTATTACCACTTTGAATATTGATTCTAATTTCATCTCAGGTAAAGGAATTGTTGCCATCATGAGATGCCTGCAGTACAATGAGAAGCTTACAGAGCTACGTTTCCACAATCAGAGAAGTATGTTGGGTCATCAAGCAGAAATGGAGATTGCCAGGCTCCTGAAAGCCAACCCTATACTTCTTAAGATAGGCTACCACTTCGAACTTCCAGGTCCCAGAATGGTGGTCACTAATCTACTCAGCAGAAACCTTGATAAACAGAGACAGAAAAGGATAGAGGAGCAAAAGCAGCAACAGTTAAAGCAGCAGAAAGAGCTAATCGCCATGTTAGAGAATGGACTTGGGTTGCCACCCGGGATGTGGGAATTGCTAGGAGGACCAGTACCTGCTTCAATGATGCCTCCTTCAATGCAACCTCCAATGGCACCAGTTCCCAAAGCTCCACCTATTGGCCGAAGAAACGAGCCTGCTAGAAAAGCTGAGCCTGAAAACGAAAGCAGCAGCAACGTTCCCGCTTTCAAAATAGTGAAGCTCAAGAGAATCCAGCGCAAACCTTCTATACAGGAATATGTGGAGCCAGCTGAAAAAACCAACCTCAAAGATGTGATCAAGACCCTAAAACCTATTCCGAGAAGGCGGCCCCCTCCTTTGGTTGAGATCACTCCAAGAGACAAGCTACTTAATGATATTCGTCAGAGTAATGTAGCTTATCTGAAACCAGTAAGTATGGGGTGACCCAAGGAAGAAGGAATGTGTTGCAATATCAGTAAGTCCATCTTAGGCAGTGTTCCTCAACCTTGGCAACTTTAAGATGGGTGGACTTCAACTCCCAGAATTCCCCA